CTAAACTGGGTACCTGAAAGTATTTCATTGAATTTGTGTAAAAGATTTTACTACTTCCTAAAAGACTCCGTGTGATATTTGATAGCCTAAAAAGCAATGTGCCGATACAGGGTTTCGGAACTAATCTGACCTTTACTTATTTCACTTAATTTGAGAGAGTAAATTCATATGTAAAAATTTACCAATTGCTAGAAAGTAATTGTTCGTGCGTATTAAGATTCTTACAATAGGCAGTAAAACTATTCATACTCCCATATAAATTATAAATATGTAAATGTTAATAAAAGCGATGTATATATTCTCCCACATGTAGATTTGATAAACTATTTATGAAACTACATCTATTCTGAATTTATCTGTTACAAATATACAAATGTAAGGCAAGATATAAAAACGAATAAAACAAGAACATGTAAAAAGTAACATTAATAAAATGTCCATTAACGATGCATTTAGAATAAATTGTCTTGTAGTTTAGTGAAAAAATATATACTTTTTCGTTTCATGTTTCATGACTGTCATAGTTATCCCTTAACCTTAAACTGAAACATCGGATATTTTTATTCCCGTCAAATCATATAGATACACGCAATATGAATGGAATATATAACATTTCATTTGTGCTAATAATACTCAGAATTCATGCTTTATCGGTAACGTCGGGTATTGACACTAAAATGGTAAGGGGGCTTCTGACGCCCTCGAAGCATGGGACAGAAAATTACATTGCATGTTAGGTTTCGTGCATCGCGGACGAGCCGGCTCACACTTATCAAGGGCTCTCCATATACTGTTGTGTTTTGGTATTATTGTTCTTTGCAGATAACTGGATATAAATAAATAAATAAATATGTTAATCCCTCAGGATAGTAGTGAAATGTGTATATTTCTTTCCAATTTAATCAATTACCTTTTTCTAATTTTTGAAATTGAAATCTATACGTTATAACAAGGTGAAAAGTATAATGTGAAAAGGTATAAATGTGAAAAGTCTAATTTTCATGTGGCACATATTTATTAATACTATTATCATTTAAAATTGTACATTAATTGTAACCAAATTTCTTAAGTGTTCGTTCATTGGTGTGTTTACTCTACGTTGTGTGTGTACGAAAAATAATATAAGATTTTGTTGTGAAAACTGTGATGCAGGACTGTCAATAAACGACAGTTTCGAAATCTATCGCACAACACTTAATTTCTAAGGTAAGCTACTCGCCTCTGTCCGCACAGTGAAGTTCTCGTTCGGCGACCTCGGTCCTCTAGGGGTTAATAGCATTAACCTAATACTATTTTAAGTTTCTTTTTTTCAAAGAAGCGCTCACTGATACGGAAGCATAGATTCAATCTTGTAGGCTGTGGCCATTACTTCTCCTGTATCCCCGAATGACTGCATGAAAAGCTAAATAAAAATCTGTAATGATTTATAAAGCATGCTGAACACGATGTGCATTCGCGATACACTTTCAAACCCGATTTTATTGAAACCGAAATTATCGTCAAAACTTTGAGGAAGTCTGAATCGATCAAAGTCAGACACATCGAAACTTCAATATACTGTCGCCTTCGATTTTACAGTGAAACGAACGGAACTTGGTTTATCAATAAGGGAGTTTTGCATCTCTGTGGACCATGTACACTTCTTATCAATTTATCCTCC